TTGTGTTCGGTCGCAGATGCTCCGGATTTTGATGCTGGCCATAGCACGTGGTAATCCCGCATGCCGTGTCCAACATCAAAGTGGTGTACTTACAGGTCCCATGATCGTAGCTTGCCAGTGGAACTGCAGTCCCAAGTCAGCACATTATTCCGAGTCTATCAAAGACGTGTGGTGAAGCCGTCGTCTCGACTCGGCTGAGTCATAATCGAGGCATCATCACCGCGGTCTTCTATCGGGGTAGCTTACCAGGTCCTCGCCGACGGGGCCGGCAGAGCAGGAAGAGGGCGGGTCACTGTGAAGACGACGATGTTAGCATATTGTCTCTCTGTAACACTGGTTGCCTTTGCAGGCGTCACTCCGCCGTGACCGTCGTCATCGACGGCCCGAGATATGATGGATGATGGAGGGCGTCTCGCTGAAGAAGACCCCGCTCTCCGATCGCCCCACCTTACGTCTCGGGCTGCGACAAAAGCTTGCGGTGACGACGGTGGACGGCAAGGCTGGGAAAATGGGAAGCAAACATACCGGCCGAGGTCAGTGAGCTCCTTGTTAATTCTCTTGAGGGCCATTTTGGCAGAGTTATGTGGTTGTTGGGGTATCTAAGATGATCGGTCGCCCGCGCGAATGCTCTGTGTCTGTTGGTGTGAGGGGCAAAAGTCAGCGAAAGCGGTCGAGGTGGGCTTTTTCTGGAGTCGGCGGGCGGTGGGCAAGGCAAGACGCAAATGGGTCGGCTGCTGCTGGCGAATTTATGGCTGAGCTGCTTTATTGCTGCTTTTCCTTGCTGCGGAAAATGACAGATGTAGGTCGAGGCAGTCGATGCAGGCGATGCACAGATCGTAGGAGGGGGCAGGCAGGCAGAAGAGGACAAAGAAGCCAAAGCAGCCTCGAGTATTCTGTCGTCGGGCAGCGGTCTAGAGTCGTCGTAGGGATTCGTCGATGTCGATGCAGCAGGACTGTCGGGTGACGCGAACCAGGATATCGCGGTGGTCGAAGCAATGAAAGCAGCAGCAGCAGCCGATGCGTGGCGAGATGTTGGGTTGGTTGGGACGGGGACAGTGAATGCAAATCATGTGTTGCGTAGCGTGCGTACCTGATGAGCGAGCGTGTCTATCCCGCCGAGACTCGATGCAGAAAAGAAAGGACTTTTATTTGGATTGTGAGAGTCGTTCAAAATAGTCGTCGGTCGGAGGTATTACCGTGGTGGTGCCCGAAGGAAAGTCGTGGAGAATTCGATTCGCTACGTACGTTCCCGTTACAGGTTGATGTCGAGATTGAATTTGGGTGGAGGAGAGGAGAGAGAAGGGGAAGTCACGGTCGGGCCTACGAAAAACGACGGGAAGGGTCGCTGCTGTGTGCGGTGGGCTTTGCTTTGCTTTGGGCAGTGGAAGGCAGTGGGCAGAGCCACTCTTGCCCACCAGTCAGTCACTGTGACTGGAAGGAGGGGGGTTCCTTTGCTTGCCTTTCCCCTCCTTCCTCCATCCTGCCGCCCAGTCACGACTCACCAGTCAGTGAGGTACCTACGGTAAGGTAGAGGGGGAGCAAACCCAAGGTTGGCTGGCTGCTTCCACTCAGGTTGGCCGCAGGCGGAAGTGAAAGTACCTTCACCTGCCTGAGCCACAGTCCAGGTACCTTGCCTGACCAGCCCAGCAGGAAGCTGCCCGTCCAGTAGCGTCATGCAGCCCAAACAAACAGTGGGCTTGCCGCCCGACAAACCGCACTTTGGTTGGCTTCAGTCATGACGCTCGTCCCTCAGAGTCGTGTGCTCTGTTTTTAGTGCTCGCTTTCCACCTCAGGTACACCTGGTGGATGCGCCCCGCTGCAATGGGAACCTGGACGGAACATGCGCACCGCCACACATGCCATCCAGAGATACTTGCACCACTAACAGATGGCAACTTCCTGCTGCGTCAGGATTGGTAATACTTGCTGACTGTCCCGGTTATTCAGCCCATTCCTCAGCCTCAGGCTCGTGCAATCGACCATGTGCTTCCCTGTCCTTCTACCACAACTGGCAGGCGACTGACACGGCAGCCCGCCATCTTCAGCGAACTGGCCCAGTTGCTGCAGGCCGTGGAAGCAGCGGCATTCACGTCCACCAGACACTTTCTTGATCCTCCGGGCCGGCATGACTGGCAACCCTGGACCCAATCTGACCGCCTAACAACGCATCACTCACGAGCAAAACACCCTCGAATCGTGTCATCGCCAAAGCATGTGTCGCATGAAACCTCGTGTCCTTCTTGCTGCAGTCAAGCGAGGCTATTCATCCTCGACACGACTGCCCAAAAGCCCATCTATGCATCTGCCATCCCATCGCGAGTCTGCAAATGACGTCCGTCTATCGCTCTCAAACTGACAACGGTACATCCTCCAGGCACCACACACGTCTAAATGCAGTGGTACCTCGCCCACAGTGCACTCTAGCATCCCATCCTGGGTCTGAACTCTGACCCGGCTGCTGCCGAACAATGGGCCACTCCCAGAAAGCATCTCCCCGGCTCGTGTCGACATCCAGCACCGCTGCTCACGGCTCGGCTTCATCCACTTGTCATGATCTTCGCTGCTGCATATTGTGGCGGTGCTCCCCCGAGAGCCACGGTGCCGGCACTCTGGGGATCTGGGGAATTCTTGTTCAGTGCGCATTTACCACGCCGAACTGATTACAGATATGCAGGCACCATCGCCGCAACTGGCTGGCACTACCCAGCAGCAGCTTCGTTCAGATTGTCACTGCGACACTGCAGCAACGTCGCCGACGACGTCATTCGCCGACGTCGGTTCATTATGTAATCATGATACTGCTTTCCCCGACCAATGAGAGCAGCTCTAGTTTGTGCCTCGGATGGTGCTCGGGACGTCCACCGGCGGGGCAACGCCTCGGGGTCGGTAGTTGAACGGCAGCACTACCATCATGCCGTTTACACGATTCCCCTCAAACCACCTTGTGGACGTCTCAATTGGCAATTCTCCAACATGTATCGACCAGCCCTGAGGACATGCGCAAGGCAATGCGTCGCCAGACGCGCCGTCCCCGCCTCGAGGTCCTTCGCCTCATCCAGCGGCCCGGTCTTTGACTGGGAGGATCCCCTTAATGCGAAGAACCTGTTGACTGAGGAGGAACTCGCGATCTCAGAGACTGCCGAGCGTTATTGTCAGGAGCGCATGTTGCCGCGCGTGCTCCGTATGTGCCCCGGCTTCCACCGTCGTCGTCTAGTCTGTGTTAACTGTCTGTAGAGGCCTACCGGGACGAGAACTACGACAAGAAGATCCTCGAGGAAATGGGTGAGCTGGGACTTCTCGGAGCGACGATCGAAGGATATGGCTGCGCAGGCATCTCGACCGTCGCTGGTGGTCTCATTACAAAGGCTGTGGAGAGGGTGGACAGCGGCTACCGCTCTGGCATGTCAGTCCAGTCTTCTCTCGTCATGGGCGGCATCGCCGAGTTTGGTTCCGAGGAGCAGAAGGAGAAGTACCTGCCTGGCATGGCCCAGGGTAAGGTGCTTGGTGCCTTTGGTTTGACGGAGCCCAATCATGGCAGCGACCCTGGCTCCATGGAGACCACCGCGAAGCCTCACTCGACGAAGAAAGGCTACTACTCCATCTCCGGAGCCAAGACGTGGATCACGAACTCCCCCATCGCAGACGTTCTCATGGTGTGGGCCAAGCTGCAAGAGACCGGAAAGATCCGTGGTTTCCTCGTCGATCGCTCCCAATGCCCCCCGGGAACTCTCGAAACCCCCGCTATTAAGAACAAGAACGGTCTGCGCGCCTCAATCACTGGCATGATCCAGCTTGACGACTGTCCCGTACCGGAGGCGAACATGTTCCCCGAGGTTGAAGGTCTTCGTGGTCCCTTCTCTTGCCTCAACAGCGCCCGCTACGGCATCTCTCTGGGTGTCATGGGAGCCTTGGAGGATTGCATCGCTCGCGCCAGGACATACTCCCTCGAGCGCAAGCAGTTCAAGAACAACCCGATCGCCAAGTACCAGCTAGTCCAAAAGAAGCTCGCGGACGCCGCGACGGATGCCGCTTACGGCACTGTCGCCGCGATCCAGGTCGGAAGACTCAAGGATGAAGGCAAGGCGACGCCCGAGATGATTAGCATGGTCAAACGCCAGAACTGCGACCGCGCGCTGTTGAATGCGCGTGTTCTGCAGGAGATCTTTGGCGGCAATGCGGTCAGTGATGAGTATGGTATCGGCCGTCATGTGGCGAACTTGTTCGTCACGCAGACGTACGAGGGGCAGAGTGACATTCACAGTGAGTTTTGCGCGTGGCCCAGTCATAAGGTTATACTAACATGGGACAGGTCTGATTCTTGGCCGTGCTATTACGGGCATCCAGGCATTCGTTTAAGCGAAAATGAAGTGAGGTCGATGTATCCAGGATTGTGCCGGGCAACGGACACGGCTTGTGTGAATAACTCGAAAATACGGTCATTTATGCCTGTTAGTTAGCTGTTCGTTGAGCGAGCAAATTAATCAGTACAAAAAGCAAATTCAACCAGAAAACGATTTTCCCTGGCTGTGGAGGCAAAAGATAGGTCCATCCAGGATTCGAACCTGGGCTTACGGAAAGAACTGATGTTAATCAGAATCCGACGTCCTAACCAACTAGACTAATAGACCGTGTATCGCAAGCTGATTGCTGATGGTGGTCGGCGACGAAGGCACTCTTGTGGGGCGATTCACTGCTCACGATCATGCGTTTCCCCACCACCTCGCACGCCACAGCAGCTGGTCTGTGAAGCTGCTCCGACTTTTCAATATCTAAAGTCTTACCTACGATGCTTACTCTATCTATTATAAGATATATATATCTAAGCCTACTTACCTCAACTTTATCCTAAAGAATTATCGCATAAAATTAGCTCTATTGTAATGCAGGCACTCCTCAGAGTGAGGTGTATGCACATAACAGCTGCGTCTCAAAATGGTCTGCGCAAGCATTGCAAGATACTTGGACTTCACTAGCTCCTAAGTATTCTCCTCTCCATCTCCTTAATAAGTATTATTGTTGCTTTTCTCGTTGTCCTTGTCGTTGTCCTTGTCGTTGTCCTTGTCGTTGTCCTTGTCGTTGTCCTTGTCGTTGTCCTTGTCGTTGTCCTTGTCGTTCTCATCATTATTGTTATCTATCATAAAGTACAACTCCAATTCATTAGAGGTATGGATACCGCTTTTTTGGAGTGCCTGTTTCCGCGTCAACCACTCCTGGAGTTATCGCTCCCGCCTACGGCGAGCGCACAACACCTGATGGTGGAAGCTCTTATAGAGACCTACAATGATTACAGTTAGGAGAATCCTCATAACGGGGGATATCTCTCCTATGTGATATGGTTAAAGAAGACGCTTTGGGGGGGGGGGGGATTCAGGATGCGAACAGTAGGAGAAAGGGAATGGGCTCGCCGTGAGACCATTGCAGGTCTCAATCAATACACATGCAAGGTAGCTAGGAAGAAACCAGAAGATTAGGCGGTCTTGTATGTTATTTCATGAGTAATACCTGTATCACATGGTTTACCTGATATAGCTTCTGATTTCCTCCTGGATCCAAGCATCATTCCGGTCTTCAGAAAACAAAGTCCAATGCTTGATCCACCAATATCCATCTGAGTTACCTTGGTCTTTCAATTTTTCGAACATTCGTCTCATGGAACTCACGCGGCAAAGGCTCTTCCAATCCTCCCCATTGAGGAAGCCTCTTGCGCAGTCGAGTACCACTGCAGCGATCCCGGCAGCAATGGGCGCCGCACATGACGTACCGCTCATTTGTCCGTGGTCATCCTGCGCCCCTAAGTGGTGTGGCCACGCCGACTCTATACACTCCCCAAGAACCATGATCCGCATGTTATCCATCGGACTCGGTGTGAACGTGGAACGATTGCCGTATCCATCCGCCGAATGGACGCATATGACATTTTCTTCCCGAGCTGGCCATGCAATGCCATCCGGCCGGTTCTTTCCCTCGTTGGATGCAGCTGCAAACATCAGCACGCCTCTCCGAGCCGCGTCCTGAATCTCTTGGTACAGCGCGTCGTAATTGACGGAGAAACCAAAAGACATGACAATAATATCAACTTCCCACACGTTTACAGCGTACCGAAGGGCCTAATTCAGTCAACTACTGGACAGTCTAGCCAAACAGGACGTATCACCCACCTCAGCAATAATTAGCGCAGATTCGTCGCCCTTGGGCCTGCTTTTGCATACTCTGGCCATGTGAATAGCAGCATTTGGTGCAACCTTCCGTAGCAGGACGGCTAGATGGGTTCCATGCCCGACGTCGTCTCTCCATCCGGTGTGCCCGTCGACCCAGCTTTTGTATTTGATCCTGGGCTCAAAGTCGTACAATTCTCGGTGTTTTGAACTAAGCTCGATGCCACTGTCCAATATGGCAATCTTGATTCTTCTTGCGTTTGACATCTTGACGTTGCGCAACTGTTTGGTTCGAGAAAGAACGTCTTCGTGGTACTCGAACCACTCCTTTGTTCTCCTGGTCCTGCATTATCTTGAGCTTTAGCCGCATGACCGGCTCTCAAGCAAAGCGATTGAGGGAACTTACGCTTCTTCGTTGACTTTTATATGTCTCTCATCACCATCTGCCATAAGACATAACTCATGTCTCCTCGTAACCTGAACCTGGGATGTTGTTTCCACTGTGAACATAAGTCAATTCCGGCGTGCTGGAAGATAGCTGCAAGATACGAACCCTCGGGCACCGTTGCCAGACTGCGACTCCAACTTTCCGGCGTTTGCTTGATGGAAGTGTTGGTGTTTGCTTCCTCAACCTTTCCGAGACCGTTCAGCTCTTTTTCCAAGGACGTGTGTAACTCCTCTAAGCGAATTTTGTAACCATCCACCAGCTCTAATGCCAGTGGAAGAATGATGCATGATAGTATGTACTGGCGTATTGGACCCTCTTCCGCCAGACTGGAGCATGGAATGTTTGGTGGCGGCTTCAGGTCAATGCAAGCCCTGATGACCTTGCGGAGAGCGGAGGGTATGTACTTTCGCTCCATTTCCAGCTTCTCCATCTGCTTCCAGGCTTCCAGGAAGTCTTCATTGCACTGTTCCCAGCTGAGGTCCGCCGTTGTTTGAGAGCTTCTGGGGAACACAGATCCTGTGGCAATTTCGAGGAAGATGATACCCAGAGCCAGGATGCTCGGATGCGGGTGAGCTTGCATGTGCATGTAATGTCTGGATGTGCTAGTAGCATCTTGCACATCGTGCATTTCGACAGAAAGATAGGGGAATGCCAAGGTGACCGGTTTCAAAGCGGAAACACCCGACCGTCGAATGAAGTAGACTTTGGTACTGTTCCACGCAGTCCGTAACCAGGAGCCCGGGTACAGGAAGAGCATCGAGTTGGCCAATATATAGCAGAGCGTCAACTTTTCCTTATCAGAATAGTTGCTAACTCTGGACATGGACATGCCATCCTCCAAGAGCTGTTGAAGCGATTCCATGGATGTGTGATAGTCGGCGTTGGCTGATCGACGGGGTCTAAGATGCCAGAGCCCATCGTTCTCAACCAGAAAATCCACTGGAAACCCTTTGCTTTTTTGAATCCATTGACAGATATCGTTGCTCACACATTCACGATCATGTGTGGCATTCCCGCGATTACTATGATCAATTTAGAAGCCTATTCATCGAACTTCTCTTTGACAACTTACTGGGTGTCTTTGCTAAATGCCACATTCGTCACTTTCCACTTCGTTTGATTCTGGCAAACTGGGAGAAGGACTTCATAATTGGCTTTATGAACATTAATCTGTGCTTCAGCGCCGGTGGACGACATTTTCAGTGCCAGGATATGATGCCGGATCAGACTGAGTCTCGCCTCCCTCGGTCTGGACGGCCTAGCAGCGTCACAGGTACACTTCCAATTGCGTTCCAATATGCCATAAATCTTGTTTGAAATATCTTTCAATCCGCTGCTGGGATGTTTCGAAAGACTCAACTCGTTGGTCTCCTGCGCCGTGTGATCCCTGCAGTAGACGTTCAGCATGTGCACCGCAGCCAACTTCACTGGCTCCAAGAACTTTTCGCGTCGCGATTTGGATGTCTTCTCTTTCCCATGGAACAAATGAACCTTTAGATCTTGACGAATAACGCCTAGGTACTCATTTCGTTGATCGTCTGTTTGGGCTGACAGCTTGCTACACGCTTCGTAGCCACCAAGACGATGTTTCTGGATGGTATGTTCGAGATTGTAAAGCTTATCGAATGGTTGCTTTATTTCCGGGTCTTCCAGACCAATCTGATGACTGGTTAGCTTGATTTCATTGAACAATGAGGTGGCAAACGGAAGACTTGCTGCATAAGTCTTGATGAAATCGAACGGCTTCCATTTCTTCGGAAGCCGGCTTTCCAACGCCTTCAATAAGCCATTTAGCTCTTCCTCTCTCAAACCCGAAGTCCATTCTCCGCAGGATACAGCAACAGCTATTCCTATGCGAATAATGTCTGAATAACAGTCTGAGGCATCTCTGAGCAGATCCTCGTCCTGTTTGTCGCGGTCTATGAAGTCTTTCCCTAGCGCCACGAAGGCCGGGATGACATTACTGAGTAGAGCTAGCTGCCACATGAAGTCATGCGGCGCAAGCGACCAACTGAGATTGGACTATCGGAGTATCAGGATCACGCCGGCTGTGTGCAGCACCGGATGGCCTCGAGATCGTTGTGTGATGGGGAGAGCTATGAGGCTTTTGAGCATATTAAAACTGAACCGAGAGATCAGGCTGAGAGGGGTCGCAACACGGAGGGGGCGTGTGACATCTTCTTACCCAGGGTGCGTCTTACATCTCGGCGGCGGCGCAGAGACACCCATGTCAGCAGCACCCAATGACCGTCATGTCATATTATCCGTCCTGATCCAACGGCGACCATGCATGGAACGCCTGATTTCACCTATTACCCCTCTCCATCGACCTCACTTGATCACATTCGTATCTAATGTAGGTCTCGAAATTGTCGCCATGGATCTCGAGGCGGATGTGAAAGACATTGAGAGCCTTCAATGGCTGGCTAAAAATTGTGCGAAACTTTTGGAAGCTCTTTTACGTGAAGAAAATGCACAAGCTGAGGACATCATCGCTAAAGACGGTCACTGGGTGTCTCGACAGTATGCCGAGTTCAATCTGTGGTGCGTCAAGGTTGGCGTAAATGGCCAGGGACTGGGATCTATTGACGTTCGCCTCAAAGATGTGCCCGAGACCTGTGCTGTCATCAGGGACTTGCTCAAATCGCTTCAGAACGATCTGCAAAGTACGATTTTATCAAGATTTGCCCCAGCTCACTCAAGCTTACCATCATTAAAACTGTAGAAATTCAGCAACCCGCCGACAGCATTCAACGTTTGAAGAAGGCCGATGTTGAAGCCGACAACTCAGATTCCGGATCTGATAGCTCGTCTCTTTCATTCGACTCCCTTTCTTCCCTCGGTGGTACTGAATCAAGACAAGGCCGTGAAGACATAACACTAGAGGGCAAGCAGACTCTCATATTAAGAAAGCACGTCGAAGACACAGTAGACCGTCTGCATGGCCACGCTTTACAAATCGACAAGGCGGGAGATAAACACCGTCAGGGACGAGTCAAGGTCTATGTTGAGAAAGACGGCCCAAGATTTGCTTACCAGGGCTACAGGGAAATCGCGTATCGAAAGGCGAAAAATCAATTTCCCTCGGCGTCTGACATCTTATGCCATAGGATGGCCGAATCATTTGCAAGACGAAGGATACGCTTTGACTACTTGAGAGAGCACCAGAAGAAACGCGCCGTCCAACTGCCAAAGGCACAAACGAGACCGCCCGTTTCTCGGCCGCCGAAAAATGTGCTCGTGGGTAACTTCCCAAGGGTGCCTACGGCCAAGGAGGAGGAAGCTCCCAGACGTCAAAGCCGTCGTATAGAGCAGCAACCAAAAGATCAGCAAACTATCTACTCAGCCACAGAAAGAACGAAGCTAGAGAGTCCCGTACAAAGACAACAGGAGAGAGCTGAGAGTGTGGTGTCTATTGCGTTGCGCCACCCTGGTTTTCCACCGCCTCCAAAGATCACTGGCCACAGCTTCCAGTGCCCATATTGCCGTTTGGACTTCCGGGCAGTTGAGGGGGGGAAGACCCGTTGGAGGTGGGTAAAATTGCACCAACCCAAGAGCTGCTCTCACTAACCGACGAACCACACAGCCAGCATGTCATGCAGGACTTTGAACCTTACTTTTGTCCCATCAGTCTTTGCGAAAAGCCGTTTGATCTGCCGAATAATTTTGACGGCTTATTGCATCACTTACAAGATCACGTTGAGGAGCGGTACCATATAGACCTTCCTGAAGGAAAGCATCAAGAACTTGGCGAAGAGGATTTCGAGAAGTACATCAGACAGCGAGGTTATATCTCCGACGAGAACCTAGTCGTTCTGAAGAAGGCCGCACGACGCAAAGGGGCCTTTCTTTTTGATGACTGCCCTTTTTGCGGTGGCTTCCCAGACGTGCTCGAGAAACGCTTTCCGGTACCCAGTGCTCCCGAGGCGCAAGTTGAACTGCGGAGGCACATCAGACAGCACATGCAAGACATGGCTCTGTTTCTCCCGCCATACCGCGAAGACGTTTTTGACGATGACGGCGATCTTCAAAGCTCCATCTTTTCCCGCGAGCGAGGGGAAAATAGCAGTCTCGAAAGCTTGGATGACTTCCAGATGTTTTGCGATCGAGACGCCTGCGATTGCAGAGACCAAGGCAAGTTCGCTGCCGACGTGACTGGAGAGCTGGAAATTCCGGGGATAGAAAGCGCAGTTGAACCTGATGCGTCGGACTTCTGGACCGAACTATTCCCGGAGTTGCCTCGCTTTGACAGGTCAGATCTGACCAAGGAAGATTGTGCCCACGATGGCATTCTTCACACATTCCTCACATCCAAGCTTCACTCTGCCCCGGAGCTTGTTTCAGGGGGCTTGGGTGCGATAACGGAGCCGGCGCAGAGAACTCCTGAAAGCTTTTCTCAGATAAGCCGGAGAGAAAGGCGATCTACAATACTGGGATCAGTCGCAATTGACGACTACAACATGCGTCAGCGTGAATACTGCCGTAAACGATGTCCTGGAACTTATCAATGGCTTTTAGACACTGATGCTTATCGGATATGGCTTTCTGAACCTAGCCAGATCTTTTCCTGCTATGGATTCCCTGGCTCTGGGAAAACTATTCTGACTTCTGCAGTGGTAAGCCATGTCGTTGATTACTTTGCGAACGACATTACGACCGGAATTGCCTTTGTCTACTGCAACCAGGACAGAACGGAATCCGGCGCAGGTGACGACGCTTATTACTTACTGGCGAACATACTTAAGCAACTGGCTGAATACCTCCCTTCAACAAGCCCTGCACTGGAGTTTCTATACAATATGCAGGATTTTTCCAGCGTGCCTGATTCTATCTCGGAAATCTGCCACACAATCGAGCGTGTAGCGGAGAAATACTCGAAAATCTTCATCATAGTGGATGCGATCGATGAAATTCAGGAGGGTCCTAGAGGCCGAAGGGAGTTTTTGTCGGAGATGGTGAAACTACAGAAAGCATGTGGTTTGAACATGTTTCTAACTTCGAGGCCAATCGTGAACATCACCCAGAGATTCCTCTCCCTGACACCACTATCGATCGAGGAAATTACGAGGGACTTCCTTTCTCTGACGTTGAATCACACGAATCTTCCTCAGGGGTTCAAAGGCAACATCCAGATGGACTTTTGCGCGGCTGACGAAGATATACGGAAACTCATTCAGCACGAAATGCCGCAATTGCCATACCCAATCAGGCAAAAGCCCAAACTGCAAAAGAAACTGGCGGACTGGATCATTCGCGAGGCTGACGGAATGTGAGTTGACACCACGCGTCAAATGATGGAAAAGAAAACTGAGATATTGTGATGACGTACTGATCCGGAGTAGATTTACAATGGCAGAGCAATTTCTACTTCAACTCAAAGGACTCGTACATGCCAATGACGCAGATCGGGTAGAAGAAAGCATTTTGACGATGCTTGAGACGCACCATGCTGATAGCATTCACTGCCACGGCTTACGCGAAAAAGTGTTGCGCCACCTTCGATCCCTAGAAATACTATCCGTTAGCTATGAAGGCCATGCGCCTAGTCTTTAGCTCAAGACGGGATCTTAAGCCCATTGAGTTACAGCACGCGCTATCCAAAAGCTTCATGAAGCCCTCAGAGGAACACCGGCCCGACATCAACGACATCCTTCTTGCCTGTGCTGGCCTCCTGGAAGTTGATGATTGGATTGACATCATTTATTTTTCTCATTACATCACCAGAGAATTCCTGCAAGAAAATTTGGACGACGACCTGGCTGCTCTTTGCATCGACTGCGTCTCATCTGAGGCTTTCGATGCCGGCCCCTGCTCAACAGAGGACGAGTTCCATGAGCGTCTACGATCATACCCGTTTTATTACTACGCTGCATCGAACTGGGGTTACCATGCTCGTTAGTCTTTAGGTGTCTCCTCATCGGTGGCCAATTTTCTCTCCGCAGAATCTGCGGCGCAGGCGGCGGGCCAGGCCCTTGTGATGTCGAACTTTCCAAGTCAGCAATCAAGTAGCTTCCAAACTATTCCCAGCAGTATAAGTGGCCTTCATCTGGCAGCTTATTTTGGTTTGGATGAAGCTGCAAGGCTGTTGCAGAACAGCAACCCAGATCCCAGAGACAGCTTGATGTATGCTGTATTGCAGGATCACGTGTCTGTATCTGAGCTACTCATTCACCGTGGGGCTGATGTTAGTGCGAGAGACAGTCAAGGAAGGATGCCTCTGCATTTAGCTGCCATGTTGAGCCGTCCTGACATGGTTAATCTGCTACTGGAGTCAGTAGCCGACGTTGACGCAATAGATAACTTTCGTATGTCTCCACTGCACATAGCTGCCGGAGAGAAAGACTCTTCTATTACGACTAAGCTCCTCACATGGGGAGCCAGCGTAGACGAGAGAGACTACATGGGATGGACACCGTTATTGCAAGCCACACTATCTGGCCGCGAAATTGCGGTCGGGGATTTACTCCTGGCCGGTGCTCCGGTTAAAGATGCGGACGAGAACTACGGCTACATCAGCGTGCTCTCAATCGCCGCAATGATGGGCTACCACAGCATTTTTTTAACCCTGCTTGACAATTATGCCTATATTGACATAAGAGACAAACCAGGCTGTACACCGTTGCTCTATGCTGTGGCCAAAGAGCATCCGCGGATAGTTGAAATCTTGTGCAAGCAAGGGGCTGATATCCAAGCAAAAGGGGAAGATGGCAGGGATCCGCTGCTCATTGCCCTATCGATGGGGCATGAATTGATTGCCAGACAACTACTATCTTACGGAGCGGATGTCACATCCACAACGGAAGGAGGGTACACTCCAGGAGGGTACACTCCTCTACTGATTGCCGCATACCGAGGATATGACGACTTAGCTGAGCCTATTTGCCGATTTCAACCCCGGAAGACAGGGAGGCGAAGGAACATTTTGGACAAACACCGTTGCTGGTTGCTACGAGGCATGGCCACGTGGCCGTAGCTAGAGTACTGCTCAACTACAAGGTCGACATAGAGGCAAAGGAGGACAAGTTCGGTCAAACATCATTGCTCCTAGCAGTTCGTCTTGGTCACACAGGTATTGTTCGACTTTTACTGATGCAAGGGGCCAATCCTGAAGCCACAAGATTCGACGGCAAGAACGCAATACAAATCGCGTCTGTGCCTGGAAGAGAGGATATACATGGCATCCTAACCAAATGGACTTCCTAGCTCGCTAAATATCAACTTCATCTCCACTTACTGAGGCTCCGTTCCTTACCTAAAGTAAGTCTTCTCGCCTATGATCCCCCCTTTTGTGTGTTCAAGGGACATGTAGATGGCGAGGAAACGTGCCATAGTACACAAACCCGATCCATGACTGAGTGAATCCGATCGAGTGAAGCTGCAGAAGCCAGAATACGATGTCCGCAACCGAAGCTTGAACGGGTCCGGAGGCGTCGGGATTGACGTCAGGAAGTACAAGGATGACCCAGTGACGAGACTTTTTGGTATACACGCCTTTCGTCCTCGAGAATGAGATACTCTATCTCGTCAAGGGACGGCTGATGACACGGCCCGAGTCCTTGGCTAAACAGCGCCTTTGACCATGCGCCCTGAACCGCCCTGAACATGACTTTCCCCGTTGTCAAGGGCAGCAGTCTCCAACACTCAAGTTTCCCAGGGATGCTGATGCTTCTGGCTTGGAGTACTCACAAGCTAGCTTAATGGGAGGGTTGTAAACGAGGATGCGAGCAAGAGCTGACTTATTCTTGTCCACTTCCATAACCACGACGTCCTGCGATTTCGCAAATAGTAGTCCTCAAGAGAGCTTCCCGGCGAGCGTGCGGCTTTATATGGGATTCAAGTAAAGCACCGTTCAAAATCGTAGACTGTCCTATGATCTTGAGGTCAGACGTACTCAAGTCTATCCAGAAACCTCCAATACCACTCGTCCAGGAACTCGAACCACAAGAAAGGGTCTATTCGTCATCGCCACAACATACAATAATCATACACAAACCCCCAAAACGCCATCATGCCCTCTCCAGACCACACCCTTCATCATGAATCTCTCCTCTCAATGCCAACCATCTCATAGCCCCCCTCCCCATCGCGCCCCCTCCCCCTCCCTCTCCCCCTCCCGAACCCAACACCCTCCTCCTCGTCCCCTCCAGCAGCCCCATTCTGCTGCCCCTCCACACCTCCTCCTCCCGTCGCCGCGCCCGCCGCATGCCCGCCGAACGAAATCGGCCTCAGCTCGCGGTACCGCGACCCCCAAACCGCCAGCGCAACACATATCGCCGAACTACTCGCCATCGCGCCCCACCACATCATGTTCCGCGGCACGCGGCCCGTGTACAGCGACGAGACGACGAGGTGCAGCCCGTGCATGGTGAGCGCGAAGTCCGGCACGAGCTTAGAGCGGCCGATCAGGACGATGATTGCGACGGCCCTGTTTGTTCCTAAGTCAGCCAAAATCCGCACGCATATCTGCTTCCTCCCCCGAAAACCCCCAAGCAAAGGTAAAAACTCACATGCAGAGCCCCCCGTCGAGAACCCACACAAACGCGCTCAGCCAGCCCTGCGTCGTGTCCCCCCTCACGGCCTCCCACCCAAACACCAGCTCCATGCTGAACCGCGTGCCGGCCACCAGCGCCGTGAAGAGCATGAGAACCAGCGCGCCGGCGTAGTACAGCCCCTGCAGCGCCGCGATCTGCGACGCGATGCGGAGCGGCGGGAGCTCGCCGAGGGCGCCTGGCCGGGGCGGCTTGCGACGGCGGGGCATCGTTTCTGTCTCGGTGACGGTGGAGGTCTCGACTCGGGTACGTGTGTGTATTCGATCTCGTTTCTTGCGGAAGTTATGTCAAGCTTGCGGTACGGCGTATGCGTGTCTTGTTCGTTGTTCGTGGGAAAAGAAGAGGTTGCCTTTCGTAGGTGTCGTTCGTTCCCCAGGGATGGACAGGCCGGGGGGGACGGGTAGTTTAAGATGGGCCAACGGCGCTCCGAATCTCGCTACCGGCGTCGCATATCAAAAAAAAGGGCGGCCTATTGTCTTTCTGCGTTTTTGCGCCCTTGCTCCCTAATTTGGAACGGTAATCAAAGAAGAGTCTAAACCCCGGTCTATAGCAACAAAGAAGTGTAAAAGTTGGTTGAATGTAGACAGGTAAAGAAAAACGGCCCGCCGGACCCCGAGAGGTATGCGAAGCAACCTAGCCAGCAGTAGCGTCAGCGGGATGGAAGGTGTGTCCAGTTTGCGCCACAGCGCGCCCGAGCTTCTGGAAACCGTAGCAGCAAGGAAAGCTTCCAAGGTAACCCGCAAGTACCTGCCACGTCAGGGGATCGTCGAAGCCACAGTCGGGGCCGGCGCTAGCGCCCAAAGGGGACAAGGCTGAGGCTGAACAGGCGCGGAAGCAACGGCCCCCACTACCAGACCTCGCAATTCGCATTACGCTGCCGTCCGTCGCTCACCGCCCGCCCGGGAGAATTCTGCCCCTCCATCCGCGCCGACATCACCAAAGAAACGCCGGTCGCCACTCCAACACCCCAAACCACACAAACCCCCGCGAACCCCTCCGTCCTCGACCGCGAATCCAGGCACCGAGAACACCGTCCAATTCGAACAGCCGAAAGAGACCGAAACAATGGGCTTCTTCTCCACAAAGTCGGACGAGGACCGCCGCGCAGAGGAAGTCCGCTCCGGCGCCGTCGCCCCGAAGCGCAGCGAGCGCCGCAAGTGCTGGGACGCCCGCGACGCCTACTTCGGCTGCCTCGACGCCAACAATATCGTCGACGCCCTCAAGGACGACCGCCAGGCCCGCAAGGCGTGCCCGACGCAGAACGCCGACTTTGAGCGGGACTGCGCCGCTGCGTGGGTGAGTCCTCCTCCTCCCCAGACTGTCTTCTTTCCCGGGATTGTCTTCCTCCTGCCGAGAAGCTGGCTTGCTGACTTGAATACGCCATGACATAGGTCAAATACTTCAAGCAATGGCGCGTAGCCGACATCGCCAAGAAGGAGCGGATAGCACAGCTCGAGGCCGAGAACGCCATCAAGATGGACGTGACCACCACCTTCGCCGACAACTCCAAGGGCACGAGCAAGGCCGATCTGCAAGATATGCTGGCGTCTAAGAGGCAGTAGGGCCAACTTTGACCTCCCTCCCTGCCGATACAAAGTCCCTCCGTCCCCGACATCACCCACCACCCACTTGATACCAAATCTCTCCTGTACAACACCATCGATGGTCCGGGACGAAAGGACATGTGTAATATAATGTATTCATGAGACAAAAGCTTGCCGTCACAAGCATGGCGCATTCAATGAGAATCAACTCTTCTATTTTGCTACCTGGCCGAGACCAACCGTATGATGGGAGGAAACCGCCTCTGAATACCGTTTTAACCCATGAGTCTTTCCCTTTCAACCCTCACCCCATGTCCACCGCCTCGGGTCGTCACTCCACAATGATTTTTTACGTGATGACCTGTATGTATGACTTCTGTATGGAGAAACAAGAGAAAAAACAACTAATAAGGGAAAAGAGAAAAAAAAAAAAAGGAGAAAAAAGAAGAAGCATGCTTAATGCAATGGTGGTATCATCCATGTGAGAAAACACTAGTAAAAAGCTCTGTGGCTCGTCTCGGCTCTCTGTTGCCTCTGGTCGCTGTGAGACCTCATTGAACGAGCTTGCAGAATTGTCATAGACCCCGTTGATGCAATTGTGATTTTGTCGATCCCTCCGCTGCTTCTGCTGCTTCGTCCCCTTGCTTTTGAACTTCACCTGTCGTCACAACCCGAATTCCTCGATTCTTCTTCCGTAACAGGGTAGCGCCCTACGCAAGCCCCACGCGGAACTGGCTCTCGCCGGCGGCCTCCTTGGGAAGAGGAGGTAGGTCCTTGTTGAGAGACTCTTTGCTTAGGCGAGACTTGAGTCGCAACGAGTCTTCGCGGCTCATAGATCCATTGCCGTTGGGGAGCGCCCCGTAGCCGCTATCCTGACTCTCGGGCTTGAGGTGGTGCCCCTTCGGCGGCGTGGGAGGCGCGTAGTCCCGTAGACTGGCAAGTCTGCGTTCCATGCTCGTCTTAGCCGGGGTTGCTGGTCGGTAGTCGTCTCCGTCACGGCTGCGACCACCCACAGACGAAGCCTCGGCCGTCTCCTCAACAACTGGAAGGATGGGCGCTCCCTGGCCCCCCGACTCGCGACGGTCTCCCGATTTTGTCGTCAACACCATTTCGGGCACGTTGGCCTCCGATGCCCCGTGTCTCTCGGTACGACGAGCTTCCTGGTTGGCGCGCTCGACAGTTTCGCGGGCTTCAGGAGATCTCGCACCTTCCGGCGGCGTTGGCGGAGGTTGATAGTTGGGCATTGGCGGAATGTTGTTCGCTGTGGATCGCCGCCGTAAGCTGGAACTCCAGCTGGCGACGCGCTGACGCTCAGCAGCCGCTGCAGCTTCAGCCTGTTCTTGGTCCTTCCGCGCCGCTTCTCTGTGCGCCTCCTCAGGCGACATCGTGATGCCCTCCACGAAGTTGTAGAATCGATCACCGTACTGTTCAGGGGGAAGGGCGGAGATCTGCGTCCTATCGCTGGTGAGACCCTTCCAAAAGTGCTCAATCTTTTTGATCATTCCGTACTACAATGGTCAGCTTAACTCACTTAACAATGCGGGTCAACTTACGTGAGTCAGACAGTCGATGACGCCCAGGTAGTAGATCTCTTCGGCAGGCGAGTTATCCTCGTGGGTAGCCTGGAAACCGCCATCGTCCTGGTTGAAGATGTAGTTTGACCGGCTGTGCCCCTCCTCAAGTTCATTAGGCATCTGGGTCGCCGCCTCGCCCATGGGTATCGGACGCTCGTGTCGAATCATCTGCCTCAGCTCCCTAGCCTTGCGCGCATTCTCCAACTTAGAGGGCGTGCGCAAGAGCACCGACGGAGGCTCGCCGTCCTCCCCTGTGTTCTCGCCGCCTGGGTTGAACACCTGAAGCGTCTTGCCGCGGAGGTTCTCTTCGTTACCCCTGTTGAGATCGTGGATGCCGATGAGAAGAGAATAGTCCATTATTTTGAGCTTCTTCATCAGGACCACGTCCCGCTGCAGCTGCTCCAGGAAGAGCTTCTTCTTCTGTATGCCAAGTTCAAGGTGGCGCTGTCGTCGCAGCCAATTCAGATCCTTCAGAGTCGCTCGTGGGTTCTTGTCAAGGTCGTCTTCCTTATAGTCGCGGCCGATCGTAGATCCCTTCAAGTCGAACGTGGTGTGGATGTCGCGGTGCGGAGGGAACAGGTTGTTCATGACGACAAAGTGAATCTTCTTTCCGTATGGCATCTTGACTCTGTGCAGGCCGTAGAACTGCGACAGCAGCGTGTTCGGGTTCTCGGTGACGTGGTGGTAGTAGTCCTTGAGGATCTTTCGCAGAAACTTGTGCTCGGCGTGGTGGATGGTCTTGATGATGTACTTGTAATCTCGGGAAAAGTAAAAGAAGCTGCCACTCTTTCCTGGGGACCCAAGCTCCGAAAGAATATACTTGCCCGTCAACGACATCAGGTAGTCGGCCGGATCGAGACGGAAGAGATTGCGCAGATGTCTGAAAACCCACGGGGCGTAATCCTTAAATTTGAAATCGTACTTCGCCGAGGGAACCATCTCATTGCCGGCGCTGCGAATGTTAGCATATGAGCAAAGGCTGGAGTAAAAAGCACGTACATGTCAAAAGTCGACTTTTGCTTCGCGTCGAAATCAGCATCCGTCAATGGGCGATCCAGCTTCGCGTTCGTTCGAGAGACGGAGACACGAATGCCCGTCAACATGTTGTAGGCGGTCACCCAATTGGCGTGGTGCTCGTCCACCTTTGTTCCCACGAGTACCCTGTCGTCATCCTCCTCTTCTTTCCTCTTCCTCTTGCTCGCTCGCTTTTGCCTGTAGTGCTCCGCCCATCGCAAAGCATCGTCGTCCGGAACAACCTCGTCGCGGGGAGCATCGGATTGCATGGATCGGGTGTCTCTCCGCACCAAGTTCAGCGATGCCCTACGCACTCTTTGCGTGGTGCTCGTGTGAGAAGTGGGAGAGAAGCGGCCACTCGAGAATGCCGCGTCGGACCCATCCTTGGATCCGCGGTTGGACTGGGTGCCCGGAACCTCGAGCGTATGTCGGTGCTTGAGGCCGGGGTTTGGCGGTTGCAGCCCCGTCGATGTGGATGCATTAGGTGTCGCGCCGGCGGATTGGTATAGGGGCGGGGAGGAGAACCGTTGCGGCGATTGCGGGTTGTTGTGGCTGTTCAGATTGGGGGACAGAGATGAGGTGCTGACGGCGGTTGCCGGCGTCGTGTAACCGTTCGCGTTGCTCTGAGAGGGGATCGGCGGGGGTGCGTAATTGGGGCTGCTCGTTCCATTCGTCTTTATTGTGTGGTCAATCGAGCCGGCGGCGGGGGATGCAATTGATGGGGGCGTCAGGTAGGCATCGGTAGAACTCGAGTTGTCTGTGTCGGATGCGGGTTTCCTCACGACCTTGATTGGCGGCGGGGGCGCGGTGCGATCGGGCATGGCGATGGTCGCGCCATTTTGCAGCGGGTGCTTGTGGTTTCTGTAATCGGAGTGATTGTTTTGATAGTCGTGACGGGAGTCGGTGTCGTGATAATCAAAGTCTTGGCCTCCTCCGGCCCCTGCCGAGCCGTTGGGCAACGAGTTCATGCTAGTCGGCCTCGTCCCATTCATCTGCGTGGGGATGGAATCAGAGACGTCGGAGGCGTGGGTTGACGACGTTGAGCTTTCGTCGAAACTATCATGGAGGTTGTTTGAA